GAAGCTACTAAGAGCGCCACGGTTTCTGAATGCACCCAAGGGGAGTACCATAGGCCCTAAAACGTAAAAAGGAAAATAACATTACCTTATGTATAAGTTCATGCTCATAAATTGGCTTTATAGTTTCGGCCGAACCACTTTTCTTAGCTCGGCGTAATAAATAAATATCTTCTTCCGTAAAAAAGCGAATCATGTATGTTCCAGATCTGAATTTCTTGTGTTGACCCGCAAAAGTGACCTGAAAACGGTCATCTTCTATGTTGTTTGATATAGGCTGTATCTCATCATTGAGAACTGCGTATAAATGTGTCAGCTACATAAGGTAAGAATGCTTATACTTTCGCTCCATCGCACTTGACCTCACCACTTATGACGAATACGGTTTTTGACGATAAAAGTGCCTCTCTTGTTGTGTATGACACAGCATTAAATTCAGGAGTTTTGCATTCTGCCACTAGAAAATAAATATAAGATTAGCCTACAGGAAGCAGTGACCAAGGAAAGGAATAAGAAGAATCTTATCGGCTGCATGCAGATGAAAAGTAGCGCCAGTGTGACGAAGCAAGCGTGGTAATAGAAATAATAATAAACTTTTGTCCTAGCAATATAAATTATAGGGTATTTTTTAAATTTCTGTGTTAAGTGTATATTTTGCTCGACAATTAAGTCCAAAACCTTGTAGTCTTATTCGCAATTAGATAGAGGTTTAAATTAGCTAGGGGTTTTAGGACATCCTCAGAGCAAGACAACATGCTTAACAAATAATTCACCTCTCTTGTATTAGTTTTTTGGTTCATTATCGTTAAGCATATTGTTTTGCTCTGAGTGTGTTTGTCACATGAAAGACGAAAGCTCAGCAAGAATTTTCAAGTGTCGTAAGGCGATGCGCCCAGGACCAATTTGCATAAATTTTCAGTCACAGCTCCAATATAATCTCCTTACAGCTTCCGATGAGGTCAACTTATGAATTCGTTCTACTCGCTTCTTCAAATGAAACAAAAGTTAACCCTAAAAACATATTGGCTGGCTTGTCGTAATGTAGCTAGATAGTCTACCCTTTACAAAATGAAGAATGGGCTCCCTTATATAAGTATATTCATTAGCTGGTCATAGGTTATAGTCATGCTGTTAATTAATTATGGTCATTGAACACCTGATAGGGTAAAATTTGATGGATAATTGTTAACAGAATTAATATTTTATCAAGAAAGCGTGAATATCCTTTAATTTTATTATGTCAATCATACTATTATAAGTTCGGCCAAAAATATTAAAATTCGAAATTCTAGTCTAATAATCTAGAGAAAATAGCCTATATCGATAGTTCTGACAGTATTTACTCTTTATAGAGTTTGCGCTCTTCCGATATAAAAGCAATTATAGGTTGATTTATCAGACTTTCGGCAGGTTAGTCGATTGCTCTGATTGTTTTAAGTGTTATCTGGTTTACAAACTTTGGAAACTCTTCCAGTTTTTCTATTTCATGTGACCAAAGTGCGAATTAATCATCCAGGTACCGCATGAGCACTGCCGGTTGGAGCGGTGCTATATTGAAGCTTTCTTCTATTTTGTTCATGTATACGCTTGCCAAAAGTGGTAAGAGGGGCGATCCCATGTGAAGTCTAAATATTTGTTCATAAATATTCCCGTTGAATGTAAAATAGGTTGTCCTTATTGTCAAGTTGATTAGTTTTATTAACGACTCCCTAGCGTTCCGTTATGATTCCAGGATATCCCCCTTTCAGTCCAGCATTTCCAGCAGGGCTGTTAGTGAATTTTCTCCTAAGATATTTGTTTACATCTATTCCACATCAAAATATATCTATTTGTAAACCAGATCGATAAAAAATTCAATTCTCGATAAAATTAGAGAAAGGTTAGCGACTACCATTCCTGGACATTAAAGTTATTCGTTATAATGGGACGCTCAAAAAGAAATTGTCCAGAAAGAAGTCCTATGCTGGGATATTACTTAATTTCCAGTCCCATCACAATTACAGGCTAAAGATTGGAATAATGAGGAGCATGATCATCCGAAGCCTACGCCTAAGGGATGTAAAAATCTGAGCAGAAGAACTGGACAAATTGACTAGGATATTCCTCTAAACTGGCTTCCCATACCAAATGATTCAAAGAAACATACGGGCAGTGAAAATCCGATGGCAGAACGGGGACTTTAAAAAAACAGTAGGGACGATGAAAGATTTACAAAAAAGGACATGCCTACCTTCCTGCGAACTAACTAAAAACTACGGCTAATATTGAGTTAATGAAATATTCAGGTGGTCCTGAAAGAGAAATTAACAATTTTCACAAGTCTACCAACGCAACATAAAAGGGTAGACAAATTGGACTATTTAGGAGTCTACTGTATATAATGCGGCGGCTGCGGACAGAAGTATATTGGCGCAACAGAAAGAAAAATTAGCACACGAATAAACGAACATTAGAGGCTCTGCAGGAAAATAGATACCAAAGATCAGAACTAGCGAAACACATCACAAAGCCTGGACACGAAATCAATTGGAAGGCAACAGAAAGAAAAGCCCCATACAGTGACAACACAAGGAAGCGGAAAATAAGGAAGGCCATTGATATCCTTGGAAAGACAAATCTAATGAATAGGAGATTGGAGGAAGGTATAGTTAGCGATAACTTTGCCTAATGCCTAAGCAAACTCGAAGAAAACAAAAATAGAGCAGGACCAGTTTAAAGGAGACGCCTAGATCAAGGATGTAACCCTTATCTAAGGAAAAGGGATCGCGATGAAAAAAGTGAGGGGAAGAGGTTTACGGCAATAAAGGAAAGACGTTGTCAGTGAGTGAAGTCCATTTCAAATAAACCAGTACAACTCTGGGGGCCTGGCAGTAAGGGAGCGGGACAGACGGATAAGCAATCCGTCACGGAAATTTGGCGGTATGGCGAAAATGCTCTAGAAATCCACTTGAGTTGCCGCATGCGACCAGAGATAGACGTCCACAGTCTGCTCAGATAATATGTGTTAAACCAAAGATAAGACCCATGAAGGAAAGGCCTCCTATCTGCAAGCATGGTAATCAAAGCTTAAGCGCTCTGCTCAGTAAAGCGGAAGTGTACGTGCTATTGTGGCCTTGAGAAATAGCGCCTGGTGTAAAATGCACACAGGGACTGGAAACGAGTGAAATCAGACAGCCAGCAAGATAAGGAACGGATCTACGAGACAATGAGAGGATCCGGATTTGAGGCCCGAGTCGAATCAACCGATTGAAAGAGAAATTTTAGGGTAAATAGAAAGTATGATGAGGCCACACTAGATTTGCCACAAAAGGGGACACATTTTGACGAGTGGAATGTAAACAAGTGAGAAGTTGTGATGCGACAAGAGTTGGATAAGAGCGTTAAGAGTAGATAGATAGACCAGGACGGAAAGAGCAATGATAGTGTATCTGTTTTCAGCAGAATGTTTGTCGAGGGATTGACTTAATTTGTCTCTTTGACGAGTTCGTAGCTTGGTGTGGGAAACGGCAAAACTCACTGATGATGCCCACTACGATGCCAACGAAACGTTTGAGAATATACCAAGTCCACTGTCTGATGCTGGGAATCATGACAATTACTATGATAGACGACTTTGGACTAGGTGCGTTCTACTAACTCGCCCTGACAACGAGGTCAACCCGCTTATAAAAACCTACAAAGGTCAGGGAGTGTGCGATCGAGCCTATGGCCAAATCATCTTGACTTTATACTTGCGATAAATACCATAACTAGTACTTTTACAAATATAATCATTACTACTCCGATAATCAGATAATTTATTTTATACATATAATAAACTTATTTATTATTAATATTAATCAAAAAGTAAATACATACAAAGAACACATTTTTTCTTTTTGAGGAATAAATAAAATAAAGTTGTTTTTATTTAATAAAATTTTATACACAGTCGTACTATATTTTATTTACTTTAAATTGGCGTTTAAACTGCGGCTACTCCAAATTATCCTTATGACTTATGTATGATACCCTTTTTATCCCTTCCATTTACTCCTTTTAAAGTATAAAATATATATTTTTTCATATATATTAAATAAGAACATATTTATAATCT